AGGATAACTCCGCAGGAAAACGCTCAAGATTTTTGTGGCTTAACCTGTCAACTCTTTGAGTATCAGAGGAATTTTTCGTACATATTCGAGAAACGTCAAACAATTTTAAATAAAGATGCATGATTATAAACGAAAATTTATATTTAAGTCAATTTTGATTCGAAGTTTATAAAATTTTTGCACAATACTAAAAATATGTTAAACCTCCTTTATTACTAGTGAAATCAGGAATATATATCGGTTATTGACACTCAAAGGGTTAAAAGTCAGAATTAACCCCTTCTCTTGTGATTTGTTTCTTAACTATGATCCGTACAACTTTATCGATACAACTACTTTATTATTAATAATTTATTAAGAAAAGAAAAAATTTTGATGCTTTTCTTATGTATATGTTTACTCCAAAAGTTAACAGTCAATAAGAAGAAAGTAATATTTAATGTATATTTTAAAGAAATAAATAACACTTAGATTTCTCAAATTCAGTTTGCAATTTTTATCGCGAAATTAACACGATATTGTAGGTCAAGGGGTTAACACGTTAATATTAGAACTACCGCACCCGTCAAAATGACTGATTTCAGTTTTCTTATTTTACAATTGTTGATATCTTAAAAACGTTAAATACTTCAAATGATTTGAAAAATAAATAGTTTTACTTCAATGCTACAAGCAAAAAACCGAAAAAATATCTATTGTTACAAATTTTCTCACTTTTTAATTTTTCGTTTATAAAACGAAAGTTTTTAAGTTTTCGGACTTATTTTTTTACCGATATTGAAGCCGAATGTCTATTTATAAGAAATTTATGAAAAAATTGTTCGTTCTCGCATTTAATTATTATTTTTTCACTGTCAAATCTATATTGATCCGATTCACCCCGATCTACCCTATTGTTATTATTATTATTATTAGACACGTCAGTTATGCCCATTCATTTTTAATACTTTTACTTTTAACTTTCTTCTAGAATGTAACATAGTTCAATTTACGTAAACTATCATTGACTGAATTTTTCATCATTTTCTTCTTGTTCAATGCCGACAAACAGAGAATTTTTAGTGACATTTCATATTATTCTAAGTATGCAATGAATTTTCCTCATCGAAAGAAAAATGCTGAACAATTTCAATACTTTCGCTAACAAGGCGAAAGTATAGTTGCGCTGTTATTAAGAAAATCTACATTTCTAGAAAGAATCGACCAATTAAAAAATTTTTCCTCGAATAAGATTAAAGGAATTGAATTTTTTCTGTTGAAAAGAATATTTGAATGATTTCTTTCAGTCACTTGCAGACACGTGACTAAGTTCTATAAACATGAATGTAATGTAAAAACGCTTGAAAATAAAAAAAAATGTATAATAAATAAGCATCGTTACTTACCGGAAGTCGAGCGCGTGCGGCATGAAAATAACTTTGACTCAATCTAGAGGATCTATAAACTGCGCGTGATCGAAGTAGGCGTTATCATCCTCTCGGAAATGATTCCATATTAACCAAACTTGTTTTAAAAAAGTATAAAAAGAATAACATTATACGTGGTAATAATATAGTATACAGCAAAATCTTTCCAACTATTTAGTAATTTAAAAAGAAAATGCAATTAAGAATTGAGACATTAAATTTTACACAAACACCGCCGGGTGGGTGGGAATGACCTATTTCTTTTTCAATTATTCAGATGATCCAGATGCTATTCTGAGAAATTATTAAATAACTTGATTTACCAATGCGCATTTTGTAATATAAGTCAATCGGAATCTCGGTAAATGTAGTCTTGTAATTTGTATTAGAAAACACGAACCGGTTAGTTCGACTGTTCGGAAATTGTAGTGTTATTAAAAGAGATCGAATGGAAAATTAATTCGATGAAGAGGTCACTAGATTATAGAAAAGAAACCGGTTAATTTTAATTATAAAGAAAAGTTATTGTCACGATGCGAATATAATGTAGCAAATTAAGGAAAAAGTCCCACAATATAGAAGAAACTCCAGAAATTTACAAAAAATAGGTTGTAATGTTTCAATGGAAATTGTAATTTCAGGTAACGTGAAATTTTCATTCCAAGTATAAATTCAAAAAAAGTCTATTGAACATTATAAATTGCATTTCGTGGAACGATATTATATTAAACGAATATGCTTTTACGTATCGATTAAAAATTTATAAGACTTTAATGATTAATAATCTTTAGAGTCAAAATATTCATTATAAATATATAATAAATATTAAAAGTATATAATAAATTAATTTGACTAATTGAAAAATAAATTGAATAACAAATAAATAGTAACTACAAAAACAATTAAACATTTTCCAATAAAGGATCCTTCAACAACAACTGCAAATAGATTAAAAATCAAACAAAAAAATATTTACAACATCGTTCTCAAACGAAACACATTGATCCTCGTCCAGCCTCAAATGTAGCGAATTCGTAAGAAATCTGTTTTCGAGAAAACGATACAGGCAACGTGACCATTATGTCAAGTAAACGCAGAATCCGGGCGTCGGCCTCGGCGAGGAGTCAGTGCCACACTTAAAGTGAAATAAAAGTAAGAAAACGAACACGTACGCGGCAGAGGAGATCCGGATACGCGAAACACGCGACGAGGAGCCGGAGATCATTGCGGGGTACCTGATTGGCCAGCCCCGGTGAGCAAGTACGCGGGAGGGTACGTTTCGTCGTCGAGTATTACAGCCTGATTATTTCGGACGAAAACTTGCTAACTTTCACCTCGCGAATGTCGATGCGTTCCGCTTCGATTAAGCTTCCACGAAAAATGGCGAGCTTCGCCGCTTCTAACGATAATCGGACGCGATCCGCGCCGTAAAAACCGGCCCGTTAAAATCGCGATTTAAAACAACGATCGGAGTTAATGAATTTTTCGCTCGCAGTTACGTTTATTTCGTTATTCGGATTTTCGTTGCCCGTTTTCTCGTTAGGATCCTGTTCGGACGAGAATTCGGGACGGAGAGGATTCTAGGATTGTGACACTATTATGCGTAAGTATTTGAACATTTCAATTGGTAGATATAATTAAACCTAACTGTTTAAAATGTTTTAATATATAATTTAGTTGATATTAACCCTTTGCACTCTAGAGGCATCTCTCAGTCAATTAATTTAATACAGAAAAATCGTAAAGTTTGATGTTTACTACTGAACTTCGCACATCAATGCGTGAAGTATTGAAATAAAATAGTTTTGTTAGTATAGAGTATAAAGGGTTAGTAGAAATGAATTTCATATTGATGAATATATTAATAAGATCACGTCGGTTGTCCAAATACTTACGAACGATAATACACGCTCGGTGCAAGGGAACGAAATTGCAAACTTCGTGTTACGGTAACAATCATTTAATCGAACATCAGCTTTTAAATAATCCACATTTTTCTGACTTTATACAAATTACAAATTCCGCAGCCACCATTGCAACACAGGAGACGAGATGGTCCGTCGACGAGACGTTCGCGGATCGAACGAGGAAGAACGATCGGAAAATAAGTTATGCGATTACCAGCGCGTCGATCCTCGCGTCGAAGGACGGCCTTGAGTATTTGTTCGAAAATTAATGGGATTGCGAGCGAAGTTGATCGTCCTGCGTCGCTCGATTCGTCGGAAAGCTCGCGGCTCGTCCCTTTCGACGACGATTCGGGGGACAAACGGAAATAATCTAGGTACACGATCATCGTTCTATGTTCTCGTTTTCTTTGTTTCTCGTTTCACGTTCTTTATCACTCTTCTCGGCGAAGGTAACCCGTATACGAGCGCGTCTCGTCTCCTCGAGGAGGATGGTCCTTAAAACGATCCTAAGAATGTCGTCGTACAATGTTACATACGGTGCGCCAAGATCAAGAAAAAGCTAATACGGAGACTAAAGAGTAGGGGATCGGGAACGGGGGTGGGAGGTAAGGGGAAGAAACTTAAATAAAAAGTGACAGACGATCGACTATCTTACAAAGATAAACCAATAGAGGGGAGGGGAGGGAGGAGGGATCGAATGAAAATAAATAACAAAGAAATAGAAAGGACTGCGGACAATGAGACCGTGAAAAATATATAATATAAAAGCATTATAAATAAAAAGAAACAAGCGATAGAAAATCTACTGAAACAACGTATTTGGAAGAGCTTAGGTACATCCGTAGCCCGGCCGTCTGCGAACAGCCGCGCCTCGCGTAGTTTTCGTCACTTCCGTCTACGTTTTAAGTTATATGTTACACCTAACTATGTATAATGTATACATATAAATGTATATATACTCTCTCTCTCTCTCTTTTCTTTAACAATCATCCTCACCGATAATTTCGCCAGCTTTTACTCTTTCCTCCGTCGCGTCGCCTTAAAAAAAGAAAGGAAAACGTAAAACGTCCGCTTCTTTTCCTACGGTATATATACGCACGTACCCGCGTACGTGTGCTCTGTTATCAACCGATACGTATATATGTACACACCGTGTGACCAGTGGGTTTCACTCACTTCGAGTCGTCGTTATAACACAGCACGAGAGATCATTCTCACATCACCCGATTATTGAAATCATTATCTTTATATTTTACTTTATTTTTATATCATTTCGTTTCATCCGTCTTCTCTATTCATCCTTCCCGTTTCTCGCTTGGTACGCGATCCATGGCCCCGCTGGAAGAACCGCGCGGTCGAGCTCCCCGCACGACGGCTTCATACCTATTTACAAAAGCCTCGATCCATCCTCGATATTGCACCTGAGGGACCCGCCGCGGCCCAATGTTTCCCGGTAGGCATCGTGCGTCGTTCCCTGGACGGTATATGTCTCAAGATTCGCGTTGGATTCACGGCACTCTCGTCGCCTCTGAACCCCTTTTCGAGAAACGCCGATCACCGACCTTTCGTTCCGACATGGGGGTTCAGAGTCTTGACCGACATCGCTTTGCCATAGGTACTTACGGTATATAATATAGGTACATCCGAAATATTCTCCCGAAAGCGGAGATCAGAACCGTCAGCAACTTTAGTCCCTGCCGATCCTCTTGTGGATCTGTTGGTGTTTGATCAGGTGCGCCTTTTGCCTGAACGCCTTGCCGCACACGTCGCACCTGAACGGTTTCTCGCCGGTGTGGGTCCTCAGGTGCACCTTGATGTTGCTCTTATTCAGGAATCCCCGGTTGCAGATCGAACATCTGTGTACTGGCTTTTCTTTGCCACCGATCAGGCCAGATTCCGTGCCGTAGGGTAGCGCCGTAGCACCAGTTCCCGGACTCTTCTTTGAAGGATTCTGAGAGCCTGGCGCGGGCCGCGACCTCTTCCTGGGGTGCGAGGGAGCCGCGAACGACGAGTGCAACAGGTGATCCGGGCTGCACGAGGTGGACACCCTGCCCGGCGGACTGACAGGCGGATAGGGACTTGTGGATGAAGGTGTCTCGCCGCACGACGCGTTTTGGAGGCCCGCGTTGGCTGACTGCAACCTGGCGTTCAACAGCGGCGCGTACCCGTGTGTCAGCAGACTCTGCAAGGTAGATCCATGTTGCTGTGCCTGAGTGGACGGCGTGGCTGTCGCGTATATCTGCGAGTACGGGCTAGGCGATGTAGTTTCCTGCGCCTTCGGTGAACACGCGGTGTCGATCCATTCGGCGATGTCTATCCAGTCGCGCGACGCGTCCGGGTCGTGTTCCGAGCCAGCTCCGTTTCCGCCACCGGGGACCGTCGTGTCCGCTATCGCCGAGCCGATGATCTCCGCGATGTCCTCGATATCGTACTCGACCTGCTGCGTGGACTGCGGTAGCTGTTGCTGGTGATGATGGTGTTGTTGTTGCTGCTGTTGTTGCTGCTGTTGGTGTTGGTGATGCTGTTGCTGTTGCTTCTGGCTACCCTGCGGACAGGGTGTGCTCGAGGATACGACGGGCGATTCGTAGTACTCCTGATTGGAGGATGACGTGGGAGAGGAGGAGGGTAACGATGGTCGCTGCGCCGACGATGCTATCGTGTGATAATGGTGACCGGGTATGCCGTTGATACTGAGATGTCCTGTGTAGCCAGTAAACGGTGGCAAAGGCTTCAGCTCCGCCAACGACTGAGCCGAGGCTACGCCGACCGACGAGCCGAGTAGAAGTGTGTCCCACGCATCCTGCAGACCAGCTGCCGTTTGCTTGACATCGGGTGGCTCGAGGAAATCCGGACCGGTCGTTCCCCATGGCGACAAGAGCAAGCTGTCCACGCCGACGACCTCCGCCGGCGATCCACCGACGACTATTCCAGTCCCCTGACTACTATGCGGTGGCTCGACCCCGGAGGACGTCAAGTGCGGAGGTGCCGCCGGTGGGCCTGACTGGGTCTCGTACTTCATGTCGATCACGATGTCCGAGGTTGGCGAGACGACGCCCTGACAAGGCGGCACCACGACGTCCTTGACCAACGAGCCCGGCTGGGTCTTTCCGCCGCAGGCCGACTGCTTCGGCAAACACCTGCTCGGGGTCCCGCTGATGATATCGTACGGCGACGTCGCGGCTAGCTCCTCCTCTTCGGTATCCAGAACGTCTTGGGACGATTGGCTAAGCGGATATTCGACCTTGATGTTGCGCACCACCGTTCGCTCCTCCGGTTGTTCCTGGCTCGGCTGCTGCGTTTCGTCTGTGGACGGATACTCGAGCTTGATGCAGGACCTCGACAGGATGTCCTCGTCACTGTCGTTTCGGCACTGCCCGGACGAGATCCGCGACGTGGATAACAGGGAGCTAAGCAGGGAGGCGTTGAACGCGGACGCGGAGGACGAAGACAGCGACGACGACGCGTTTGCCGGTCTTCGCTCCTCTGATCGTATTTTCGGGTACTCCTCCGTTTTGATCCGTACGTTTAGGGACGACAGGATTCCGTTCAACGAGTCAGCGGACGCTACCGCGCCGCCGTGGTTGATATTCCTCGCGTACGTGGAGCTGAGAGACGTCGCGGACGGCAACGCGTTGTTGCCGTGAACCGCGTTCGATGGGACGGTTCTGATGTTGTTGCTTGTTGCCGAAGACGTGGTCGTCAGGAGCGCGGATAGGATCAGATTGCTCGCCGAGGAAGGTTCCGGTGACGACGAGGCGATGCCGTACGCGCCGGACGACGAGCCTACGGCATCAGTTCCTCGCGCTATCGTGTTCACGTGACCGAGGCTCGACGACGAGCACGAAGAGGACGCGGTCGACGCGATACCGTAGCTCGTGCAGATGTTCCTCGAGCCGTTCGACTGATTCTGTTGGTGCTGTGGTTGCTGCCGTTGAATCGGCTGATGCTGGTGCTGTTGCTGGGACGAAGGGCTATTCGCGTTGCGATTCGCCGGACCGCAGAACTGAAAACCACCGTTCCCGTTGTTGTCCGGTGCCCCCTCGTCGATCCTTGGGGGCCCAGGGGTCGAGGGGAAGAGGGGACCAGGGTTCCACCAGGGATCCACTCTACTGCCGGGGGTGCTGCAACCGCCAACGGCGCCGCGAGGACCTGTAACAAAAAGGTTTCCGTTTTGGAGAGGAACGGTCGATCGATCGGAGAAAGTACTCTTTGAAATGATAGACGCTAAAAACTTGTGTCGCGGAGGATCGTTTGCTATGAAAGTTCAGTGAAGTTTACAAAGGTATAGAATATCAATATTGAACCTAGTCTTCAAGGCGGCTCCATTTTCACCTACGCTATGCGAACACAAAGTCACGAAGTTCCTCGTGAATGTGACCAACGACGCTTCTACGGTGCTTAGGTAGACAGGCCGATGGTCAACCGCGGCGATATCAAATCGTGCGTACGAGCGACGCATATCGCAAACGATACTTTTGTGAATAACGCGCGCGTGCGCGCACGCACGCACACGCGACACATACAATGCGCGCGCGTATAAATACACATGTATATCGGCGTGTATCATGAAGTTAAGTAGGCAGATACCACTTCTCTCGAGAAGAAAGGGACTTGCTCCCGCTAACTAGGTTAGTGGCACGCTAGCCAGCCACGGTCGGGTACACTCGACCAACCAAATTGCCACGTTTAAAAATACATTTTCGTGTTGCAAATAGCGAGCTGTCGTCGTGCCCGGCTGTACGGCACGGTCAAGAGAAAAACGTCTATAAAAAAGCAGAGAGAAACAAAGAAGGAAAAAGGAACAGCGTTCATTCAAGAAGATACGGTGTCCGGGGAATGCGCGCTAAGGCGATCTCCTTTACAGAAACTTTCGTCGGAATTCAATCGTACGCGTAGTCCTCTCGTCGTGAACCATAACCAGCTAACGGAAAAAGAGGATCCACGAAACTCGAACGATCGCAACTGCTAAAGACCCCGGTGGTATACATTCGTCGAAAATGGCCAAAAAAGGGTGCACATTGCGAATGCAAACCAGCCGAATGTCTCTCGAAAGAGACCGGACAAAAGAGGAGACGCTTCACGTGGTCCCGATCGAAAAAGTACCGATCCTCCGCATCCGGCCGTGGGAGACGTGAATCGCGGTTTTCTCTCTCCCGACGTGTGCACGGATCGGCACATCCGCGTGGCCGTAGGAGCGCACCATGGGAATCATGCAAATGGTAAGCACATACGTATAGTCCGGCTGTCCACCGCGAGGTTCCCCTTTTTCCCTCCTCTCGCCATCCTTTCCGCGCCCCACAGGGTTCACTCGAACACGCCACGTCCGTCCTTGTCGTCGGTTAGAGTCCGTCCTTGTCGATTGCCAGTGGATGGTAGACGCGTTGGAGGTCCCCACCATCGGCCGCTACGGGCCTCAGGGACCGAGAGAGGGCAGGGGGGTCTCGTCGAGCCGTGACGTGTTCGCTGGGTACCGTTATCCAGTGGCGTGGACTCGGCCCGAAGGAAGCCTCGGCCGCTGCTGGGACCGAGAGAGCCTCACGGGTAAACTAGCCCGCGCCGCGGTCCCACTTTTTCGGGCCTACGACAATGTCTCGATGAGCCACTTATCAATGGGATCACCAGGTATCCGCGGGACGCGACCAATTCGGCCGTATCGATTTGCACGAGGCCATCCAGGTTTACGACGTGCCCACCTCTGTCCGTCGCGGATGTATCTCTTCTCCTCCGCCTTTTTTTCGAGCTTTCGTTAAATTGCCACCTGGGACCAACCGGTAGCTGCGTGGCAAGAATCTCCAAAGATTATTTGAACGTCGCAATCTTGGGAAGGTCACTAATTTTGTTCTTAAATTTTCTGAACGATGACATTGAAGAGGTCACAGTTTTTGCCAGATTTTCAGAATGACGATAAGGTGTACTATCAACGGATATCTTCTTCTTCCTTAAAGATGAGATATGGAGGATTCAATATTCAAACGTCATCCGATAAAACGGAAGGAGGACGATTGATAAGAACCTCGATCGTGTTCCATGCACGTGGCGACACGTCGAAATTAAATGGACATCGGGTGCACGTGTACCGGGGACGGACAGCGCGATCGAGAAGGACCTGCATCGTTGGTCCCCGCGTCTGCTCCGCCGCCGCTCGTGTCCGTGACTATACGCCGAAACTATACCGCGATCGCGCTCGCGTGTATAGTGGGGGCCGAAGTAGGCCGAATCACCGTTACAGCCCGCTGCACGGTCGAAGCCTACGCAAATCGGCTAGATTTTGCTCACATGGCTTTCCTTTTCGTTGTGAAAAATGGCGCGTGCGAGTCGCGGTTTCCGCGCCGACCCACTTATCACCGGTCCGCCGCGCGCCCCATAGATCGCTTCCCTCTCGTGTCCTCCGCGATCCTCGTGAATCAATCTCATAAGCATACTGCTTGGTCCCTTTCGATCTGTCTCCTGCTAACCGAAGTGATCGAAGACCTCGTGGCTCATACCCTAGTCGCACGGGAACTCCAAACGCTAGAGTTCGTCAAGAATCGGATTCCATACGAGAGAAAAGAGAATTTTCAAGAGGGAGAATTCGGATTTCACGAACGAGAAGAGGAACGTGCGTGGTCACGTGAGACGAGCGCACTTGTTCGCGCCACTATACCCGGTTAAACTATATCTGAACGCGTGCGTGTATAGTGGGGAACGGGATGTAGGTCGAAGCACCGTTACGCGTTGCGCTCGACGGCGAGGAGGCCTACGCAAAACCAGTCGGATTTTGCTAGGCGCGTAAGCCATGGCTTTCCTTTTCGTTGCGAAAAATGGCGCGTGCGAATCGCGGTTCCCCACGGTGACCCACATACGGGAAACGAGTCACAACTTGCGGCGTCTCTCCTCTCTCGGCGGAACGGCGCGCGGAGCAGCGGACGGACGCTGTGGAACAAGACAACGCCGCATGCTGTGTTCGCGCGCGCGCTCACGCTTCTCTCCCCGCGTAACACGTAAAACCAGAAACGAGTAAACGTGAAATTCACTTCCACGCTTCCGCATCCGACATGAATGACGAATTCCCCCGTACTCGCCTCTTTGCCTGGCGAATTTACGAGGTCGACCCAGTTCTTTCGCTTTTCAAAATGGAGGAAATTTCGTGGCAACTCCGAGACCGCTGTCGTGAACGAATTCGTAGTTTTATTTTCGAGTTTCTGGACCGTTTCGCGTTTCGAGAATGTTACGAGGATCGTATCGCTTCGAATAACGGTCGAACAGAATTTCGAGAATGTCCGTCGCTTACGCGATCGAACGAGCAGCTTTCTTGGCGGCGGAAGTCGGTCCGGGTCGATTACGGAGATTCCATCGGCGAGAAATGCAGGACGGCTAGAGTCCGTGTGTGCCGATCAGTCTCGCCGTCGACTTTCGCGTTAATACGGCTTTAAAGACAAATACGTCAAATGAGGGTACTATCTCTTATCTATCATAGCGGTATCCACAAACACGGTTATATTTAGCGGCTTCATTAGTACACTGGCGAACGATTAGCGCGTCGTTATGTGGGCCCCGAGAGACCGATTACTTTCCTTTCGAAGCTATCCGGAACTAATGAAATATCCTGAGCTTTTTCGAGCCGCGCGGATAACCGTGGCGCGCGCCGGTAACTTCAACGGGCACGCGCGCGCGTATGGAAATCGGAGATTTCAACGGCGGCACGAGCGGTAACGTCCGGAGCACTTCACATTCTTCGCGTAAATGCCTGGCGTTTGAGTCATCGTTCTCGTAACGACTCATTAATATTCCGTTAAACGGAATTCTATGATCGTGAGCGCGCCACGAGGCAGCTTGCCGGCGCGTTCATAATCAACGAATGGCCGTTTTAATTGCGCGGCTCGCGCGATTCGGAAAACAAGAGGGAAACAAGAGGGAAACAAGAGGGAAACAAGTGGAAACAAGAGGAAAATCGATAGATACGTTCGGCGACTCGCGTCGAGGCCTTTAATCGCCGTAAATTTTAGTCTCGAGCATAACGTTACATCAGGTCTCGAGGAAAGTAGATCACTTGGGGAAGCCCCGCGGAGCTGTCCGCGCTCGATCGCGGCAAAACCGATCGACAGAGGATCCGCTCGCGGAGAAATTCGTCGGCCTGCTCCGGTATTTGCCTCAATGTCGACATCGAAACGGCATCGCTATCTCATAGGTGTGCGCCGGCATACGCGAGGGAACCTGGCACCGCGCTGCCAACGGAGAAAGTGCGGCAACCATTAAGGTAAAGGTTAAAGAAGACGAGGGCGAGGTGGTGAAGGTGGCTCGACCAGAAGTCGAGACACCGATGAACGCTACAAAATTGCGAATTTGGAACGAACCGCTGAATCGTTCGCTCGATATCGGTTCTTTGTTGCGGTAGCTAACCGCTGGTAGCTTTCTCGGTTAACGGTTGACCGTTGAAGCCCGATGGTTAGCTACTATGGTATACTTTTTATCGTTCAAATTTCTGTTTCTCCAAGTGTCTCAATCGTGCTCGTCGTTTATCGTTTCGTATTTGGGTCGAAAATTCGGATGGACCGTTCAATGGTGTCCGACAATGTGGCGTGCAACGAAACGAGTCCGATGAAGTACCGGTATTCGAACATGCAACCGAACAAAGCAGTTCGTCGATCAAAAGCGAGGCGAGCATGGACGCGACCGTGGACGGAGCCCCGGTGGTATCTATAGGCGCTTGCGGAACTGACGAGTCGGAAGCCCCCCTACTCCGCCTTGGAATACCGGTTAATGTGGTACACTGACCTACTCTTCAGCCACCGCGATACCACTGGGAATACCCCACCACACTGTTATTCTCTCGTCCTTCTCTCTCCTCCAGTTCTTCGTTCTCGCTCGCCGTTCCTCGCCCTCTCTCTTTCTCTCCTGCGCCGTCCGTCCTCGTCTCTCCCGCATTCCCTTTCAGCATCTCAGGCGATTCCGCCTCTCTCGCGTGGACTACTAGCTCTCGTTCTTCCTCCGCTGCGAATAATCCTGCCCCGACGTATCCTGGTTCACCGTGTTTCGGGAAACCCAAACTTTTCTCCTCTTATTCATCCCTTTTCTCTTCTGTAATTCAAAGACCGCATAGACCGAACCATCTAATACGCTCTTTAATATCGCGGAAGGATTGAGATCCCAATAAGCGAATAGAAAAATTCTTTTCTCAGGAAACTGTTAATCCCCTGACGGAAATCATCAGTTCGCGGTGTTCTTCGAAAGAGAAGGAAAAAGGTGTGCAAGGAGGCAGCTTCCGGTAACCATTTCCGCTCGATCGAGCCGCGCGCCGATCACGTGAACATAATTGCGAATAATTTATAGAGAAATTAACGATAGCAGCGTATAAATGTCTGGCAAGCATTTCGAGAGCCCTGGTGAGTCGCGAGGCGGCGGTGCCCGGCACGGAGATCCTCCAAAAAATGCAGCGGCCGCGAGAAATCGGCGTGCTGACACTGACACTGGTTGCCCGAGCCAATCATGAATTGGCATGGAAGAGCAACGAACCGCCTCGCGAGAGATGTCTACAACCTCGTGGCAATGCTTCGAGTCGGTTCCCCACTCGCTAAGGAAGTCGCTCCTCCGGAGAAATTTCACCGCGAACCGAGCGCAGCGGCGGCAACCTCCGCCGACATGGCAGTCCTCGTAGGCTACACGTCCTCCTCTACAGCCAATACCCGAATACCTAATAGCCAAGGCTCGGGGTCTTCTAAATGTCAAAGAACTACCAAGGCAAGACGTATCTGCACACGTAGTAATGGGAACGGCTCAGTGAAAATCGTTTCAGCTCAAGCAGCGGCGGACATCCTATCGGCCGGAGGTTAAGGACAAGGTTATCCGTCGATTACAAGATTACCCCCGCGCGCGAAGAGAGACTGAACGGCCGAGAAAGACCAAGCAGGTTGTTGGTTTCGTTTAAGCTCCGTCGCCGAGTATAATTGATCACCGGTTACGGTGAATTTATTAACCGACCGACGAACGGGGACGAAAATTTACTCGACGCGAAATGGCCCGAAGTTCCCCGGACACCATGGTGATTTGTTGTTTCTCGAACCGACGAGAGAGTCCAGGACCGTCTAGGAGATACACCGTTGCAACACGCAGCGCTCGCACGAGATCGCGGACGCCGATCCTCATAAAATAAATATCCCTATGAAATTACGCTCGTTATTATTCAACGGGCCAACAACTTTGACACCCGTTCGCGTGCGCCGCGCCGCGCCGGTTTCCTAACTCAAATATATGGTCCCATTCGCGCGGCTTCGCGTCGGTCTCGCGCCGAGCACAATCGCTTTTTCGTGCGGAGGTTTTCGCCTCGGCCTGCCCGATGTTCCCCTTCGTTTTTCATTGTCCGCGCGCGCGGATGGAAAGTCGCGCGTACGCGGCCGTTTGGCCAGTCGCCGTGAAAAAATCCGTCGCCGGACCGACGTATTTGCGGCGCGATCGACTGCCCGGCCATTAATACGGGGTAAGCGCGGTCCGAAATACCGAAATGCTTCCGTGCCACCAGGAATCCTCCTTTATGACACGGTTACCAGTACCCGTTACTAACTGTTAGGTTTTAGTGCCAGGTTCCACTGACACGTTGCGAGCGGCCTCTCCGGGCAGTTCGAAGGATAAAGATGTTTCCGATTATACGCTCGTCGATTCAAGCGTTATTCCGAAAAACTTCAGAATGAAATGATTTAAAGGAGATTTTTCCGAAAGCGGTGAAAAGTAATTGTATACGGATTACTTGAAATTTGAAAATTTATTATGATTAATCAGTTAACTGCGTTCGATGAGTGTACACGTCATCTTAAAACGCGAAATGGTACTGTTTGAACGATGAATTATTTATTTTCTTAAATAAATGTGTAATTCTTTTTCGTTTTGCTTTGGTTTTTCGTTAGAATATATTATAGATGCATTTTCCCTGGGTCTGACGAGTGCACATTTTGTTATTTGATTTCATGGCGCACGCAATGAGAGATTAAATAGATTCATTAAACGAAGATCGGTCATCTTTTTCTTCCTCGATTTCTGAATTTTTAGCAGTTTAGAGTAATTACCAAGTCGATGACGTTTTTCAAAGAATTTTCTTTAATCCCAGGAAAATTCCGAATCGTTGAAACAAGTAGACCTGACCTTCCCTACGATGTCGTCCGTAGCATTGCGAAAGGCCAAGGACGGCCAGCGACGCCTATTCGAATTTCCTGCAGCAAGTCTCGACCCGGGGGTCGCTGAATTTCTTTGCCACGACTCGGAGTGGAGAAACTGAAAAATGTCGGCCGGAATTCGCGAGACTTCGGTCGCGAATACGAGACACGGGTTCTATCGTTAGAAAGCGTGGTAACTCGAGTGACGTATGTGGTGCAAGAAATTCTGTAGTCGGGAATCGATTCATAAAGGCGGACACTAACGTTTGCAAAACGTTTCGAGAGACCTTGTCGATCAGGGAACACGTCCGGCTATCCCGAATTATCAATCGAGCGGCCATGTTGCGCGATCGGTACGCTCAAGAATATTCTTTCGTCGTCCCCATTATATAATCGACAAATATCCGTAGGATCGGAACGTCAACGCGATAAGCCCTGCCCGGTTGGCGGCGCGTGCTTGTTCCCGAGCGATTGAAAAGAACGATAAAAATGGTCTTTACATAATTTCGTGGTCGGACGTGTGCCCGAGAAACGTCGAAAAGATCGAGAGAAAGGTGGAAAGGAAAGGCCGTGTGCGCGGTGTGCGTCGTCGTCGGTTTTGTTAACTTACATATGAGCAGCGTGGTATCCAGAGTGGAATTGTTGTTGTCCTCAGGACCTCCTCTTGTAAATCTATCCACTGAACGAGACACTGTTCACCCGCTGAGATTCCCGGTTCCCCCGACAACCGAATTATACCGAATTATACCGAACGATATCACTTTTACAGACTTCACCTCTCACAAGGGCGAGATGGGACCCGGTTGTACGTGAACCAAGGGTCGAACTTTATATCCCTTTGGGCGCGGAAAACAACCTAGCACAAGATCACGCAAATAATCAGCGATTGTCCGTCCGTGTGCGTGTGACGCGTGCGTCGGCTACCAAACGCCGACCGGTCGAATCGTTATCGGGGACAATTAACGACCGCGTCTAATTCCCCCGTGAAAACCGGAAGCCGGGAACAGGACCACAAAACTTTCACTGCGGTCTTCTTGTTTCTTCTCTTCCGTCTCTCTGGCTCCTGTTCGCCAAAGGCGTCCGCCTTTTTGCTTGGCGAGGTGGCGCGCGTCCTTCCGACACTGCCGGTGAGGATCGGGGTCCGGGCGTGGATATCAGGAAGAGGAATTCCCGCGGGACAGGGTCCTTGACCTTGCCCAGAATCTCCTTCCTTGCCTCCGCGAGCACTGTCGACAGCACATCAGCCTCCCGGTGTTCTTCATCGGCCGTCCGCCTTCCCTCTTCCCGGCGGGTTCACGGTGCGCCGCGATCGCGGCGTCCTCGATCCTCGCGCGCGCGACTCGTCCGATCCTCCGCGATCGGTTCGCGCGCGGACACGATCGGAACAGCGGCGAGGCTCCCCGGCGAGGTCGGGGGATCCCAATGACAGGCCGCGGTTAGCGAGCCCGCTTCGGCTGGGCCACACGAACCGGAACGGATCGGATCGGAGCGTACCCGCGTCCAGGTACCCGTCGTCACTTGTCCGCGACACGAATTTTCGTCAACCAGCGGCGGCCTCTTTCTTTTTTTCTTTTTCTTTTTCTTTCTCGTCCCCTTTTTCTCTTTCGTTTCCTCCGCGCACTCTTCCCTGCCGATGTCCCGCGAATCTTTCGATCGAGGCGGCACGTTCGTGTCAATTGAGGGATGGAGAGAGACAGAGGAAGAAAGAGAGAAAGAGAGAGAGAAAGAAAGACTGTTCGCACGTGTGTGCGTGTGTAAGAAAGAGAGAGAGAAAGGAGAAGAGAGGAACAGAGAGAGAGAGACAGGAGAGAGGAAGAGGGAAAGAGAGAGGAGAGAGAGAGGAGGTGGGAGGCCTTGTGGATCTGACACGAGCTGGAAAGAGGCCTCGCTCGCCTGGCGCCGGACGAGATGCGACTAATTCCTAAAAGTAGGCGAGGAAGAAACGAACTGGATGGCCTGTGGGCCCTTACTGCGAGGGGCCTTACGCTGTACCGACCGACAGGGGCCCCTACTTCGAGAAGCCTCCTTGCGTATTGAGCCGGGGGGGACCGTGGACCCCCCACCTAAAACTCTGGCCGCCTCCTTCCCCTGTGTTCCACCACCATCGTCGCCACCACCACTGCAACCGCCACCGCCACCCGTTCTTGCTCTTCTTCCACCACCTTGCCTCACGGTCCGAACCATCATCCTCCACCATCGGCGTGTTAAATCACCGTCCACCCGGTGTGTTCCCTCCACCGCGTTCCGCGGCCCTGGCGTTATTATGACGCGCGGGTACACCGCCACCCGGGACCGTCGCGTCGCCGGAAAGTGTTTTCCTGGCGAAAACGATTTTAATTGGGACAAGGGAGTTTGCGGTTTGCGCGGGACTCGCGTCTTGCGAGTAAGCTGTTCACTCTGTAGTGCTCAAGTAGTATGTGAATCGCTGAGAAGCCGATGCAGTTAAGTCCCAGAAGTAAAAATTGAGAAAATTAATGTTTTGACTTCTGAAATTATTATATAACATATTCAGAAGCTATAAAAAGAAGGGTTCCATGACCTAGGAAAAATGGAAAAATGAGGAAATCCTTTAATAACTGAAAAGAATATTATTTATTCCATTACAATTTACAATTTTGAGCGACTCATTGGCTTCGCCGATTTGATGGATTATTTGTAACCGCATTGACGAATTGCAAATTAACCCCTTGCTATTAGAGATAATTTCGTAAGATTCGTAATAAAAATTTTCAAGGGAATTTGGTAAATCTCTGGGATCTTTACTTATTTTCCAGAGAAACGAAATATTACTTGTATATTATTAATATTTATTAAATATTAATTAAATTAATATTAAACATGTATATTTATCTAGGCTTAGCTAATTACTCATTTACCTTATCTTTTTATTGGCGCTGAATCTAAGAAAGCATTTGTAGGATGGCAACTAAACGTAAACCAATTAATTAATTAACTATGTTCCGGTATCTAACTGTTAATGTAAATATTAATTATTATTAAACTATAATTATAGATCAAAAACAAAATTTTTTTAACGTAAATCATACAGTGATTCAACTTTTAAAAATTTCGAAATTTCAACGCTAGAACTACTGCTTTTAGTTGGTTAGGTATTGGTACATAAACATTCATACGTATGCTGAAATTCTCAAAGGTAATTTAAAATTTGTATATGTATCAGGTAATCAATATTGCAAAAAATATCAAAATAGATTACTGTATATAATGTAGTTCATTTTATTAATAAAATTAATTATTTAGTATAACAATTCTCTTTGCTTTAATTTTTCCAAAATTGCAGTAAAACTTTTAACATGACTTTTTCAAATTTTACATAAATTTAAGTAAGTACCATATTTATTAATCAACCTCACATCAATTTTAAAATTAACACAATTTCTTCACACTTCGTCGACAACACATTACTTAAAATCATCTTAAAAGACAAGCTTATACTTTTCTCCTACAAAAAAAACATCAATTTACTTTAAAATAATATAATAATCACTTCCTTCCTGAATTTTATCATTAATATAATTACATCCTCATAATAATCACTTAAAAATTCATCACTTCCTATACTTCATAATTAGCAATACAATTAATTTTGTGATTCCTAGTACTCGCTCCTTTAATAAACCTCCTGTCTCCTTCATATAACATCACGTTCATTAGTCACCGTAAATGAAAAGATTTTCCGATCCGTCTAACAATTAATAGCGGCGGAATAATTATTTTAGCCGAACAATGACTACGTTCAGTTTATTCACACGGCTTCCAATAGAACCGTGACAAACGGCAAATAAGTATCGTATAAATAATCGAATCGCGGAGTACCTTGAAACAGCGATTCGAGCGAGACGAGACGCTTTCGACGGAAGTTTCCTGGTCGTAACGATAATCACCGATACACTCGTGTTTCACCAGAGAGCAACGGAAAGATCGATAAATTCGTGGATAATAACGGCGGCGCGTGTGTGTGGCATCGATGATATTGGCCAACGTGGAATTCGTTCTTACTACGGCGCGTCTGTGTCCGAGTTTTGAATTTAATTGGCATAGACGAGAAATTTCGCAATTTTTACCTTCACCGGGCACATCGACGAACACCTACACGCACCAGCTACAAGCGAATGGTCAGGGAAACACGTAAAACCGCATGCACGCGCACCCTTCCCTTACACTTCTTTATTTGGAACAATTTCTTTTGTTCTTGGGTTTTCCGTCATTTTCAAGTTGAAACGCGCGGGCTCGTCGCGACCCTGGTTACCTGATCAACGAATCGTGTTCTTGTATATCGGTGATCGATGATCATCGTGCGAGTGTGAAAGTATGAATTTTTATGGGATAAACGAAAAATATAGTGAAACAAAGAGAAGTTGAATTTGGAGAGAGAAAAATTCATTTGTAAGGGTATGGAACAAAGAAATATCAATTAAATTAACTTGAATAAGGTTAAAATAAAGGAAAATTAATTCGCAGAGAATTGAAACGAAGAAATATTAATTTACAATGAATTAAAACGGTGAGAAAATAATTTATAGAGAGTTAAAACAAATGAATTTAATTTACAAAAATTTGTAAGAGAGATTTATTTCTTGTAAGAGTGTTAGCAGATTTGAATTGAAAGAGTAGCTCGATTAAACTGTATTAAACACTTGAATATTATTGAATTTTCTAAAATTTTTAAATAATCGACTAGGTACAAAATAAACGCATGAAATTTGTAGTTTATTGATAATGTAATTGTTTCTCAATCATTACCTCTAATCCTTGTATAGGTATAAATAAAATATAATTTGTTTAATTTCAAGAGATTTACGTATTTTAAGTAGTTTCAAAGGAAACTGAAATGTTTCCTAGAAAAGTATTCATTGCGTCCTTTTCAATTGGATATACAATACTACAAACAATATTTTTACACAAAATTAGAATATAGTTTTCTATATAAGAATAAAACACATCATGAATTCTAAAGACAACAATTGTTTTACGAAACAAATCCAACAACGATAGTTACATTTTTGTTACTACAACAAAAGTAGTTAGTTTAAAAATGCTACATTACTGCTACTGCTATATTACATAAAAATGAAACAATACAACAGAACGAAAAATTATTTCGTTCCATTACAAGAATCTCTCAAGAATAGATAATCTATAATCTAACTTAAATTTATCTTAATTAAATGTTAATTTAATTTTTCAAAAACATCTTGTTTCACTTTGACATGGACTTATAAAGATTGAAAGAGATTTGTGATCGTACGCTTCTTTGTCTTTTAACAAGAAATAAGTTTGCATCTTCTTAATTTAGATATAATTATTTATAAAATAATCGAGATATATTTTTGCAACCGTAAAATAACGGAATGGAACAGACTAAAAACTTGAATAAAGGGATGTTCATACGCTTTCAGCACATAGTTCGTCATGGCCATTTCTTGCTCGTGGCGTTTTTCCACGCTCGCATTAGCTGCTAAGATACATCGCATTCGTTTAGTACACTATGTATTAATGAACATTAATAACGCATGTTATCGTCAAATATATTTTCTAATGCAACATATTAAACTAATAATATTGTTTCACGCGATGAAACGAACCGCTGTCTATATGAGTGGTAAGAAACGAACAATCTTTGAGAAAATAGAAAATTGTACGTTACACACTAGCTTAAGTATAATACTGTTTAAAATATTTATTGGAACGAATACCATGATAATGATTGTTAAAATAAGAAAAATGTAAGGAGTTTTGCTCAATGAACAAGTAATTTCACATAACTAAAGTTAAGTAAAGTAACACAACAACGTACATACCTAATATATCGTATAGAAAACTTATATACATCTCTTTTGTATTATAATTGTTAATAACATTAATTAAGATATTTAAATTAATACTACCGGTAAAATAAGTTTTCAATAAGTAGCATGATACGAAGCAAATATATGAAATTCTCGCAATGCACAAATGCCTACTGATGTTCTATATTATGGATTAATTTAAAAATGGCTTTGAAAAAAATAAAATATTCCTTCGATACTATAATAAACATTATTAACTTGTAATAATAAATAAAGTCTATCGTATTAAATGTGTAACTATAATTTGTACTAATGTTACTCGCAATAAAAAATTAAAAAATGAAGATTTTCTATAAAGTAGCACAATATAATCATGCAAATTCTAATAACAAAGAGTACTTCAAATTTTTAAGCTTCAGTAAAAATGATTAATAAATAAATTAAATGGTTAATAAAATTCATAAATGGTTAATAAATAAATTAAAAAATTTAAATGACGAAATGCAACTTCAACAATCTGACCATATTTTCAGGAAGAGTTGCGCCGCAGCTCACAAAGGTACATACAATGGTAATAGCAGACAACATGGGTCCTATTTTCACAGGATTAGGTTTTAACTCAGAAAGGCGGCGAGGAAAAAAATCTGACCTTAGTTCTTCTTGCCACCTAGAACTCTTTCGTCAAGGACCATGACGATAGGCCAGTTTACTGTATTTTGCAAACTAGTGGTAACCTGGTTTTTTTGCGTCATCCCCGAAAGTCCCGTTTTTCATTTACGGAAAACGAGCATGACTGCCACGAATTGTAGGGTAACTGTAAAAGGATTTCCCGTTGAAGGGTTAGTGACTTTTTTTAACATCACCAGTACTAGCACTCTCGTACCTGGCATGGATTTTATTGCTTTTGAGGGAAAAACCTAGTCGTGGCGTAAAATTTCATCGTCAAAGGGTTGTTCGTACTATTTCAAACGTTTTGTATGTTAACAATTAGTTATGTAATCTTATTTATTTTTAATGAATCATTGAATTGATGGTGGTATTTTATGTAAGTAATAAATATATATGTTATCTTTATTTATCTGTAATATAAAAAACATTTGTATGGCAGAATACATTGGAATGTTTGTTATTGGATTGAGTCAAGAATAACTTTCGCCATAGATGGCGAGAACTGAATGAATCACAATTAAAGAATTAATACGGAGTTTTTAACATCAATAGCTATTGTTAAATTGATTAGTAACGAGCGATTATATACCAATTATACACACACTTAAAAGTTAGTTGTCAATTGTCTTTTATCCCATTATATTTAAGAGAATGAAACGTAAGTTAAATACGATAACAACTGAAATGACCAATATATTGCCATTT